TCCCTCCCTCCCTCCCTCTCTCCCTCCCTCCTTTCCTTCCTCCTTTCTTTCTTTTTCTTTCTTTCTTTCTTCCAACATATTGGGATTCTCTAGTTGTTTTCTTTGCAGTACCTAACCCATACCTTTGTTTTCTGAGACCTGGCAGCACACACTATTACATTACAGATTTTTAAATGTACACTTCTATGTGGTTCTGGAAACCGATAAACTTTTGTAAATATATAAATAGGCATAAAATACTATATGTGACAGCACATAGAGTAGTTTTCCCACACAAAAGTTAACTTATATGCATGCTTTAAAAATATATATTGGGATGAGTAGAAATGAGACTATTCGTACATTTTTACAAAGCAACAAGTTTGCACAGCTAGAGTGTTTTTGTAAACAACAGTATTTGTAAAACACAGTCACCTAATATACAGAACTATAAGCAGAAACTTTGCAAAACTAAAGGGCTGCACTCTTAAAAATAGTTTCAGATATTTGGTATGTTAATTTGATGATTTATTAAGAAATGAAAAATTTGTTCATGGAGGAATGGGAAATAAGAACAATTCATTAAAAATCATTTTTCAGTTTGGAGGAGAAGATGGAGAGATTTGTGTTAGAAACTGTCCCCTGTACTCCCTGCAACATTCTTAGGAGGCAAGCATGTCCCCCAGGTCGTGATAGTCTTTCCAATTCATCATTAAACTTGCAACAAGAAAGTTCAAAATGATGGAGGTGAGGCCTAGAATGCTTCAGACCTGTGGGGGTTCAGTTCAGCCCCAAGAGCCTGGAGCACAGCGACAGAGGCAAAAATAAGATGAGCCACCAAGACACTTCGTGTATGCGGAGCCGCTGAAGCCTCTGCCAGGCTGGTTTCGAATGAGCGGTGTTTGCTGACTCCCAGCCACGCACCGGGCACCGCGCTGAGGTGCCCGCTTAAACCCACGGCAGACCAATGAAGAAAGTAGCAGCGTTACCCTCCTTGTGCGGGTGAAACGGCACCTGGAAATGTCAAGGAGCTCGGACAGGCCGCCCAGGGAGGCGAGTGTGGATGCGAGTACGTTGCTGTGTGCGTCTGTGCGTGCGTGGGGATGCGTGTGCTTAGGAGGCAGGTGGGGCCTCACTTTCAGGGGTGTGCTAAATCGCAGACATGGCCCTCTGCTGCCCCTCTCCCTGCCTCCCCTTTTTACTCTTGGTGCCTCCATCACACTTCCAGAAAATTGCCCCGGTGAGGCATTGTCCCCCTTCTTGTTATCTTGATATAACAGAGGTCAATAGCAGCGGTATTGCCAGAAATAGCTCTTCCTAGGCCACGGTAAAGTTGTGTTTGCACCAAATGGGCCTGCCCCTTCTCCAGGCGTCATTCTGAGCAGCAGACTCGGGGCGTCCTTTGCACCTGCAGGTTTTTCCGCTTCATACAAGGCAGCCAAACAGGCCTGCAGGGCGAAAGGCCGAGGGAGTTCGCCACCAGCAAGAAATCTTTATTGAAGCAGGCAAAACAAAGGAGGCTGAAAAGCAGAGAGGTCGACTAGGCAGGACCACATAGGCTCAAACCTTGCCTCTGCCATCATGAGATGGATGACCTTGGGCAAATTATTTAAGTCTACATGGGCCTCAGTCTCCCCATCCGTAAAATGGGGATGATAATAGCACCGGCCTCACAAGCTTGTCCTAATGTTGAATGCTATGAGAAATGCAAAGTGCCTGGTCCACAGCAAGCACCTAATAAGCATTGGCCTTCATTGCTGAGGAGAGCTCTGTGAGCCACGTGAAGTGCTCAGGATGCACACCACCCAGGCAGGTCTGAGACAGGGCACATATATTCACAACAATAATTAATAATTCAGGACAGCCAACTGTCACATGAGTAGTATCGATGCATGTTAATGGAAATTCAAAGGAGGAAATAATCACAGAATTAGAAAAAAATGTTAGATTACAGTTTGCAGTCCAGTGAGGAAAAGTGACTTTGCCCATGTCACAAAGCTAGTTTTGAAAGAGCTGGGAGTCAAGTTCAGGTCTCCTGATTCACACTATAAGACTGCTTCATGAAACTATGCTGTAATAGCACTCATGAAAATAATCTTACCAATAACGCTGGTTAACACTTTGAAGGTACTTTTTACATGCTACACATTTTACATGCATTAGCTTATTAAACCCTCATAATAACCCTGGGAGATAAGAAAATTGAGGTGCAGGAGGATTAAGTAATTCTTCCAAAGTCCTACAGCCAGAAGGGAGTTGAGCCAGGACTAAATCAGGGTTCCTAAGCGGTTATAATGGAGGAGTGAATGGGAGAGGAAAGTAGGGCAGCCAAAAGCAAGGGGAATGATAAGACTAAATTGCAGTGGTGGAAATGGACATTTATGAAAAGTGAACAGGCTGCTTTTACTAGAAAAGGAAATTTAAGTAGAGGAGGTCGCAAAAATAATTCCAAAAAACACAAGGCAAAAAAAAAAAAAGTACAAGGCAGACAGAGAGGCCTTAAATGTCAATCCAGGCAGCAAATATTCTGTCTACTGTTCGGTTGGAGGGGAGGTAGAGACTGAAGATAGGAGCTTGACAATTCCACAGTTGTGGGGATTTTTTTTCATCTTCACTCGAAGATATGTTTTTATTGATTTTAGAGAGAGAGGAAGGAGTCAAGAGTGAGAGAGAGAAACATCGATCGGTTGCCTGTCACACAGGCCCTGACCAGGGATTGAACCGCACCCTAGGTCTGTGCCCTGATGGGGAACTGAACCTGCACCCTTTTGGTGTGGGGTGGTGCTTCACCTAACTGAGCCACCAGGCCAGGCTGGCATTGTTTGGTTGTGTGTTTTTTCAAGGCTAATCTGGTCACAGACAGAATGACCTGGGAGAGCCCAGTGGCTGGGAGGCTCGTTCTTGGCTAACTCTTCCCGCTCTGGAGCAGGATGGGGTGTTTTTCAGGGGTTGCTCAATTGCCAGGGGCACACTACCACAAGTCCAAGTTCCAATTTCTCCACAGAGCATAGGGAGGGACTAACCCTCCCCGCCCCTCTCTCCCCACAGTCTGTGTGGTACTTCCCCACCCTGTGAGCCCACAAATCCCTTCGGGAACCATGAAGATCATTTCCCGCTCCTGGGCGTTCCGGCTCCTCTGGCTCACCAAGCCGGCCAGCAGGCCCTTTCACAGGGATCACCAGCTGCGGGTGCCCCTCACCCTTGCTGACTTGGAAGCCATAAATCGCTGCGAGAGGCCCTTGCCTGAGAACTTCAACTTCGCTGGGGATGTGCTGGACCAGTGGGCCCAAAAGGAGAAGGTATTAAATGATGGGCTTCCACTAGATGCTTGGTGTCCCTTCCCTTTCCTTGCTCTGGGGTCCACTTGTCACTTTTAATTCAATTCTTTCATCCCTCTTGGGTTCCTTTGTTTTCCATCTGCCCTCTTTTCTCCCCAGGGGAGATGCCTGAGCCTCAGCTATGCACGGCTGTCCTGCCCTGGGGCCTCCAGGTCCCCTGCAGCAGGGCTACTCAGCCATGTGTCTTTTCCTCCTGTTCCTGTTCAGTCTCGGGGTCCTTCGCAACAGGTCTTTGCTTTCCACTCATTTGTTCGGGCTGGTCACGGGCTAACCCAAAGAACAGTAATCTGCACTTTGATCTTAGGGATAGTCTTCCCCGGGGTAATGAGGAGACTCAGAGGCTGAGAAGAAAAAAGCGACAACCCTTACAGTGTCTGCAGCGTAGCCTCAGGTCAGGGTCTCTGCTCCCTGAGCCTCGCCCCCGCAGGCAGGGCTAAACCTTCACCTGCGGTGCTCACCACAGGCCCTGCAAGTACCCGGGCTTCCGAAGCTGGCATCAGGTGCTGCGTACAAGGTTAAATAAGGCTGAGTCAACCCTTCCGACAGAGGGAAGTGTCTTCCTTTCAATCCCTGTGTTTCAACTCCTCTAACACTTGCTAAATTCTCTTTTGAACAGAGAGAGCACATAGGAGTTGATAATCTCTAGATAAAATTTAAAGGCACACTTTCTTTTCAATATACTTATTTTTCAGTAAACTCTTTTTAGCAAGTGGTGCTGATTGTCCGGTTATGGTGGTGATTAAACACACTTCCTTTTAAAGTAAATGTATGCAAGTAGAAGTGAGTCTCTGTAAAGAGCAGTAGCACAATTGTAGGCAGATCTGGCAAACGTTAGTGACTAAAGATTGAGGAATACTGGCCTAGGTTATTCCAGCAAATTCCCACCACCACCTGGGGCTGCAGATAAGGAACTTGACCTTGAAGAAGTTAGGTTACTTAATTGAGGTCAAGTCCAAAGGCCCCTGAACCAGCCCCTGACCTCATTGAGCTTATGTCTACAGGGAAGGACAGCGCAGTCCCTGGAATATGAGCAGAGCTGCAGGAACACAGAGAGCTCAGTGGGAAAACAGGCTTAGAAAGGCTTCACAGAGGGCAAAGGGGAAGTTGGGCTTTGAAGTCTTCCAACCAGGGAAGGTAAACCGAGCATTCCTGACAGGGGAAAGAGTGGAGTAAGTTTTCCCCGGGCAATGTGTAAAGTAGAGGTTTTGCAGCACGGATGCCTCGCTTGGTAAAATCTTGGGTGAGACGTTGCCTCCAGAAATCAGTCAATCAAGCTATGCCTCTTCCCACCCCCATGACCTTCCACCTTGCTCTCTCTTACCTACAAAACATACTCCCCAGCCTTATGAGTAGAAACAGATGTCACATTCCTAATCAACTTTGGGGCATCCATTAGGGTTATTTGGATGGAAGAGAATCTAACTTAAGCATGGAAGAACTTTATTGGAGGGATATGGGAGAGCTCAAAAAACTGGGCTGGAAGCTGGAGTGTCAGTCCAGCAAGGACAGAAGCTGAGACAGCTCCCTGAGGGCACATAAGCACCGAGAGCTGATAGGCCCAGGAGAGATTTGATTTCCTTGACTTGGGTCACATGCCCACCCACTGGTCAGGGAAGGGCAAGCACCCTGGTGGGATGTCTCCCAATCTGTCTTCGGTAGGAGAGGAGTAGTTCCCCCAAGGCGCTGGCTGGTGTGCTGTTACTTGAATCCACCGGCATAGGTGCTGAGGGGAAGTAACCGCAGATGTCCCATCTACTTGGTGACCAGTCACATAAGCCTTCCCCTCTCTTTCTCATGTGCCTATGGCCAGACAGGAGAGAGACCAGCCAATCCAGCCCTGTGGTGGGTGAATGGCAAAGGGGGCGAGGTGAAATGGAGCTTTGGAGAACTGGGCACCTTGACCCGAAAGGCTGCCAATGTGCTCACCGAGCCCTGCGGCCTAAAGAAAGGAGACCGAGTGGCTGTCATTCTGCCCCAAATCCCCGAGTGGTGGCTGGTCAACGTGGCTTGTATGAGAACAGGTCAGTGTCCATATTTAACTTCTGTAAATCAGGCAGAAACAGAGCGAGACTGAAAGTTGAGGTTTTTCTGAATTGTTAGTTCTGACTGAAGCAGTTGCTTACAAAGGACAGCAAAATCAGAGTTGAAATTAACGGCAATCATGATGTAATAATAATAATAAACTACCTTAAAATGTAGGTATTTTTGTGATGCCCATTTTGCAAGAGAGGAAACTGAGGTTCAGAGAGGTTAAGAAGTTTGCCCAAAGTCACACAGCTAGAAAGCTATGCAACTGGGATTAAACACAAAGCTCTACGAAAGCCGGTGTGAGTGCCAATGCTTCTTGGCAGTGCTGGACTGTGACGTGTTCATCCAGGTGATCCAGAAGTTACTTCTCTGGGTGTACTTGGATTCTCCCTGATAGGAAAGTACAAAAGGAAGAAAAAGCATTTTAGAATGCAGGGACTTGTAAAAGTACGACTGTGGACCCAGTGGGAAAACCCTGACTCTTTCCAGACAAAAAGATGAATGTACTCAATGACACATTTTCTCCCAAAGTAGTCATCTTATAGTGTGCCCCAAATTCTACAGGGTCCTCTTCTCCTCTAGGACAGAAGTCAGCAAACACCACAGCCTAGGAGCTGGCCGTGTGTTTTTGTAAATAAAGTTTTAAGGTTTAATGGAATACAGCCACGCTCATTCATTTACAGATCGTCTGTGGCTCTGTTTGTTCTACGACGGCAGAATTGCTAATTGAGACAGAGATGGTACTGGCCACAAAGCCTAAAGCACCTACCATCTGGCCCCTTACGGAAAAAGTTTGCTGATTCCTGCTCTAGAAGGTGACACACATGTTTACAGATCAATGAACAATAAGTAAGAATATACTCTGTAGAGAACACAGAGATGTTGGTTACAGTTGATCAAATGAATGATACCTTAACTGAAACTAGAGTTTAGTGGAGATGAGCTTATTGCTAATTGGAGTTACAATGCCTCACTTCCATGGATGCCATTAAAGGACCATTAGAAGGCTGTCATCATGGTGTTGAAAACGCTCCTATTGCCCATGTTAAATCAAAACAGCAATTATACAATTTACTTCACAGTCACTATAAAAAGGTAATTGCAAATGTGAAGCCAGTTGTGAATTGGAAGCAGTTGAAGGTGGTTTATTTGGCATAAAAATGTATTTATTATTACTTAACATGACTTATGCAATTTGTGAAATGTGAAGATTAAAAATGAACCCAGAAGCTGAAGAGTCAAAAGCATTCAATTAATTAAATGTTAAGCAAGCAGCTGAGGATTGTTTTCTAACTCAAAATTATTAAGTATCCTGAGTGAATCTGGAGATGCTTGTGTACAACTCACAGCAAAATATTTTGCTCTTGCTGTAAAATGTATGCAGTCGAGAATCTGCTAGAGGAGAACTCCCCTTTTACCCCCAAGCTAGATGCTACCCATTGAACCCATTCACATCAGAAATCCGCCAAGAGTACTAATAATTTCTGAGCTGGTAAGAACAAGTGGTTTGCAAAATAAATAATCTTATGTTTTTGTATGGAGCGAACAATCTGACATCCTGAGGGGATGATATATAAGAGCTTTTAAAATATATTCTATAAATAAAGTCTCCTTCCTAGGAATTCAACTCTACCTCTTCCTCTTTAGCTGACTTCAGAGAACTCGGCAAGAAACGAGTACCTGGTGTAGGGCACAGGCCTGTGAGCCTCAGATGTGTATCTGAATCCTGGCTCTGCCACTTACTGACTTTGCGGCCCGGGGACCAGGTGTCATGTATACACTGGGATTCTTTATAAGTGGGATACCGGGCACATAATAAGTGCTCAGTAAATGGCAGTGGCTCTTTACATACACTCTGCTTCCTCTCAGTTGGTTCACTTTAGACGGAACAAACCGCCTCCCCACTGCCTTTCATCTCGCTCTCCCACATCTCTCTTCTCGAAGGGACTGGGACTCTACCACCAGGCCCAGCTCAGGCCAGCGTGTAGGGTGAAGAGAGGGGGTGGGATAGACTCGGTGACCCAGGCTTGAGGGCGACCGCGCCCTCCCCAGCCCACCTCAGAGCCGGTCACGGTCAAGGTCACATGGCAGCCACTGCGAAGACCCACGCGGCTGCTTAGAACAGTGGTCTGGTCTGCAGGCTTTTTTGGCTACGCAATTTATCAATAAAGATATTTGGGATGCACATCCTCCCATCTGGATCCAGTTATTTATGTTGTTCAGCACTAATATAATAGGCATGTTATCAAATATGTACAAAAGTGAGATAAAAAACTAATATTGCAATAATTTTTTTTTTTTTTTTAATTTTAATTTATTTTCTCATCCCCTGTGAATTATCTTGCAAAACCCACTTTGGAGACCACTGGTTCAAAAGTGTTCATGAAAATGTGTTACAAGCTGTAAAGAGCGATTTAAGTGTTATTAAAACGTTCCGTGGAAACACTGCACAGCAATGCCCGCCGTTACAATGCCTCCTCTGTGCCAGACACGTACTGTTATTGTCCCCATTTTACAGATTGGGAAAGGAGGGCACAGAGAGAGCAAGTAGCATGCTCAAGGTCACCAAGCTAGCAAGTTGCAAGGACAGCTTTAGCCCCAGGGACTGTCGGCCCTGGAGCCAGTGCCCCAAGGCTCTCCCAGGGACGGGGTCCTGTGGGATCTCCCAGGGGAACAAGGCAGGGGCAGCCGAAGGCTGGATTGCCCAGCTCCTCCCCACCCAGGCACAAAGCCCAATGCCATGGTCCACAGTTTTACCCCATGGACAACAGCTCTGTCCAGCTCAGGGGCCCCTCCTCCCCAGGGCTTGTCTTCATGCCGGGAACACTGCAGCTGACTGCAAAGGACATCCTCTATCGGCTTCGCGCCTCCAAGGCCAGGTGCCTTGTGACCAGTGAGGAAGCGGCCCCAGCAGTGGAGTCCATCGTGTCAGAGTGTCCTGACTTGAAGACCAAGCTCCTGGTGTCTCCCCACAGCCGGCCCGGGTGGCTCAGCTTCCAGGCGTTATTTCAGTAAGTATTCCCGCCACCTCTGCCGAGCAGCAGCAGCTCCCACAGCTGCGTCTCCCAGTCTCCCTGCCTCCACGGACTCAGCAATCCTGTGGGTTGTTCCAGGATCCTTCCCAGAAAAAAAAGCGCCTAATGGAAGGTTTTAAGGACAGAAGGAAGGGGTGCAGCTCTGCCTCCGTTTCCCTGCATCCCACCTCGGCCAGTGCTGAGTACCTTGCACGGGTGGTCCTTGCCCAACTTGTGGACCACACCTCCCACCACCCTCCCTGCCTTGGCGCTCTCTGGCCACCCTTTTACTTCTCAAACAGGCCCTACCTCAGGGCCTTTGCACCTTTGCACCTGCTGTTTCTTCTGCCTGGAGTGCTCTTCCCCAGTCCTTCCCAGGGCTGACTCCTTCCTGTGAGATTTCAGCTGGATGTTTGCCCCTCGGTGAGGCCGTCCCTGGCCACCCATCTGGGGTATGGAATTTGAATGCTACTGTGTTCTTCACAGCCCTCGACACTATGTGAGTATCAGGGCCAGTCACTTTTCCCCTTATTTACTGTTTTCCTCCTGTACTGTAGGGACTGGCAAATTAGGGACCATGGGCCAGTTCTGGCAAGGCACCTGCTTTTGTAAAGAAAGTTTTATTGGAACACAGCCACACCCATTTGCTTACATACTGTCTATGGCTGCTTTCATCTTACAAGAGCGAAGTTGAGTAGATGTAACAGAGATCATAAGGCCCACAAAGCCTAAGATATGTGCTATTTGGCCCTTTACAGAAAAAAGTTTGCTGACTCCTGTCCTAAACTGTAAACTTGCTCCAAGAAGGCCGAGGCACTGTTTGTTTATCCCCAGTTTCTCCCATAAAGTTGGCGCTTAAAAAATATTTCCGGAAGGAATGAACAGAGTAGTTCGCTTAGCCTCAGTTTTCTTCATACGTAAACTGGGAATAATTACACTGCACTCATCGCAAGGGGTGATTGAGGATAAAATCAGCTCAAATGTGAGAAAGTGCTTCCTAAACTGCAAAAAAGAGGGTAAAATGTTTGTGAATGGTATGATCCTTCAAATAGCTGTTTAATAGCTTATGTGGAAAAAAATTATTCCAGAGAAATTTATAGAAAAAAAGACATGAGCCTGGCTCAGTCGGTTGGGCATCACTCATGCAGCAGCAGGTCACCGGTTCGATTCCCAGGGGGGCAGATGCCCAGGTTGCGGGCTCGATCCCTCGTGGGGGCCGTGCAGGAGGCAGCCGATCGATGACTCTCTCATCATTGATGTTTCTCTCTCTCTCTCTCTCCCTGCCTTCCTCTCTCTGAAATCAATAAAGATATGATTTAAAAATGAGAAGAAAAAAGACACGAAGAACCGTTGAATAATAGAGCAGTTTCCTTTAGAGAACAAAGTTTTATCCTACTAATTAATACAAACCAAATCCTATTGGCCAATTCCCAAATTCTCTCCCAAGGGCCGTGGCAGTGAATGCTGTTTGTGTCTTTTATAAACGGTGTCACTTTGGATAGGTCAGGTAACATCCCTGAAACTCTGTATCTTCTCCATAAAATGTGGTGAGGATAGTGTCTCCCTCACGGGGGTGTAGAAGAGGCACATGAGACGAAGCATGTGGGGTGCTGAGCATGACTGGCGCAGTGTTAGAGAGATCATAATGCTGCCTTATCATTTTCTTTTTTTTTCTTTTTTTGCCTTATCATTTTCAAGCTAACAAAGTCCTCAGTAGTGCAGGTATTCCCTACGGCATTGATATCCCGAGGTTTGGATACGTACGCCCATCGGGAAAGTATTTTTAACATACTTCCCTGACACATGTCTATTTACTTATTTACAAATTAGATACATGTGCCTTTGTGCATTGCACACATGTAAAAAATAAACAATTTAAAGAATTAATAAAAGGATACAGATAATTTGAAGTTCTACCGTTTTCTTCCCCATCCCAGCTGTGCTGCATACCCCCTGGGCAGCAAGCACCCCCACTTCAGAGACCCCCATCTTAAACAACCCTGCAACAGTCTGCAGCGTCCCCGAGGAACCTTAAAGGTGCCACAAAGTTGAGAAAAGAAAAAGGTCTTTGAACTCATGTGAATTTAAAATTGAAAATTTCACCTTTGGGGNCCCCCGTCTTAAACAACCCTGCAACAGTGTGCAGCGTCCCCGAGGAACCTTAAAGGTGCCACAAAGTTGAGAAAAGAAAAAGGTCTTTGAACTCATGTGAATTTAAAATTGAAAATTTCACCTTTGGGGGGTATTTTTCAAGATAAAGGGAATCCCTGCTTTAAACGAGCAACTTTAGAATGTTGTAACTCCAAAAGCGCATGGACTCTTTCTCGAAAAAACAAGGAAAGGAGAGCTGGCATTGCCAACAGTAGGCCAGTCTTCCAGAAATCCATACACAGCAAGAAGCAGGCCTAATTTCACATTATTAGAGTCAATCTTCTATTCAAGGAGTTCATTGTAGGGCCTCTCACCCTCCTTCTGCCTCCCAAGGATAGACGTCCATGAACACCTTCCAGAATATTTACAAAAGGATGCAGAAAAGGTCAAAATTATGGGCCAGACTGATGCTTCTCCTTTCCTGTCTTAGTAGAAAGGACCCTTCCCTGTGGCTCTAGAACCCTGAATTCTAGTCTTGAGGGGACTGAAACAATGTTCCGGGCCGAGGAAGAGCATGAGCAAAGATATGGAACTAAAAACGTCCCACTATGTGCAGGGAATGGACCGTTTTGGGTGGCTGGAGAACAAATCGTGAAGTCACGGCGGAGGCCAGGTTACGGCCTCTAATATAAAGACCTCATACGAGGGCTAAATCTTTAACTTAACCCTACAAACAAGGGAAGCCATTGACAAGTTTTACGAAGGGAAGTGTCCAGGTCAGTTCTGGGTTTTAAACAGGTTTCTCTGGCAGCTGTGCAAAGGATGAATTTGAGAAGAGCCGAATTGGAATCAGAGAGACCATCTTGGAGCCTAACATAGGAGAGAGACTCTGAGGGTCGACATCTGCACTCTGTAGGTGGGATGGAGGGAAGGAGGGACGCTAAAGAACTGGCAAGGCTTCGAGACTGATTGGAGGGAGAAGGAAGGAGGTGAGCTGATCTGCTTTTTAACTGGGGCGACTGAGTGCATGGCTACCATGAGCCGCAGAAAGCGTGAAAATTTGGACATGTTGAGGTCGAGGGGTCTGTGAACATCCAAATATCTAGCAAGTGGCAGATACGAGACTCAGACTCAAGGAGATAAAGATACAGTTCTGGAAGTCATCAGCATTTAATCGGTTCTGAAGAATCCAGAAAGACACAACCAAGTGTCCCAAGAAAGGGAGACAAGTCAGACAGTGGAGTCACTCCTTGAGAATCTCCATGTCACGCACACGTTGCCATAGCTCTTCTTTCGGTGAAAGAAAGAATAAAAAACCTTGAAAAGCAGTCAAAATGGGAGGTTTTATTGTTTTTACGGGTATTAGATACTGTGAAGAAACCCCTTTTTCCCCAACCCAACACATACCGGCTTCACCCTACACATATTCTGAAAAGAATCAATTCAATGGAATGAAGTTTGTTTTTTTACTTTTGGGGGGAAGAGGCAAGTTAGCAAGAAAACCACATTAATATTTCGTGAACCACTTTTGACAGTACAGCGTATGTTTATGTAATTAATCCTCACTGTTTTACAGTTTCAATGACAACCTTACTCCTCCGTCATCAGGATGAATTCTAACGGTGTCCTCAACCCTGTTTCCTTCAACCCAGGAGATTAAAACTATGACACAAGAGTCTCAAACCCTCCTGAAACTCGGTGATGTAGAGCACCGATCGCGGAGTCTGCTCGCCAAGTGTGGAGGCGCTGGTGAGGGCTGAAGCCCCCCGCCGCTCCTCGGGGCCCAGCCGGGGGTCCGCAGGCTTTCCCAGGACGGCTGTGCTCCCCGATGAAGCGGAGGCAGAACCCCTGCCTCCCTCTGCTGGCCCTGGGAAGCCACAGGCCAGCCCAGACTCAAGCCAGAAGACACCCTTGTGCAGGGGTGGAAGGAACCGACAATGCACCAGTTAGAATGCTGTTGGCTTTAGTAACAGGAGACTCAAGCAAAAGTGGCTTAAACAATATCAACAGTTTCATTGTACCACAAATAAGAAGTACAGAGGTGGAATGAGAGCTGGCTAACTGAGTGGTGTGATGAAGCTAGCAAGAAGCCGGATTCACTCATCTTTCCACCATGCCGCCGGGGGGTGTCTGCTGATCCCCTTCGGACCCCAGAATGCTAGGTGGCTCCAGGCATCATGCACTCTCACAGCGATATCCAAAGGCCAGAGAACAAGACGGGGCGGGGAAGGCAGCACCCCTTCCTCTCGACTCCAGAGCAAGGGAACCGTTCCCATAAAGCCTGCAGACCTCGCTGAGCACAACTGCAGCATGTGCCCGTCCCCAAACCACGTGCGGCTTAGGGCCATCAGGGTTCAGCCCCCCCCACCCCCGCCCCAGAGCTGTGTAGACAGGTCTCCGCTGAAGCACATGGCCACCAGATACCTGAACAAATCAGTTTTATCAGAGCAAAACAGAGGACAGGTAGACAACTAACTGTGTCTGGCAGCGATATCGAAGATACTATGTAAAAAGTATTAAAAACTTTGAGTCAGCCCAGCCGGGTGTGGCTCAGCGGTCAAGCGTTGACCTAGGATCCAGGTGATCAGGGTTCGATTCCCGGTCAGGGCACATGCCCGGGTTGCGGGCTAGGCAGGCGATCAATGACTCTCTCATCATTGAGGTTTCTATCTCTCTCTCTCCCCCTCCTTTCCTCTCTCTGAAATCAATCAAGATATATTTAAACTAAACAAAACAAAAAAAAACACCTTTGATTCAAATGCCCAAAGATCTTCCTTTAAATCATAAAAACTCCTGAAATGCTAATAACAATTTACAAAGATTCAAAATGTATTTTTAAAAATTCATAGATTAAAAAAGCACTGAGAAAAAAATGTTTAAATAAATAAAGTGCATATCTTGGGGTTTTTTTAATTGAAAGTGATCTTGGCTATCTCTTTGGCCTATGGGGAGGTGGAGCTTAAAAAGAGAGAGGTGAGCTGTTAAACCTTAGCACTGGTCTGCAAAGGCCCTCTCAGGTTTCGTGAGAAATTCCTCTCGGGTTCTGTTCTGTTAACTACCTTGGGTATCGAGAGCGCATAAGTAGCAGAGCAAAAGGAAGGCCAGAGTTGAGCTGCTCTGCCATCTTCAGCCACCTTCTGGGGCCCATACTCTACAGATCGGCCTCTGCAGAGCACAGCCGTGTGGAGACAGGAAGCCGAGAGCCGGCGTCCATCTACTTCACCAGCGGGACCACAGGCTCCCCCAAGATGGCCATGCACTCTCACAGCAGCTTCGGAATTGGGAATACCATCTGTGGAAGGTAGGGAGGAAAACTCGGTTTTTGCTAAAGTCTTCCCTGCGCTGTTAACGTGTGTCTCTAACTGCCTGGCGACACCTCTGCTTGCGTGGCCATCAGATATCTCCCATGATGTCTCAGCAAAACAGACCTCTTGAGGCCCCTGCCCAGCCTTAGCTCAGTAAGTGGCCCCAGCTCACTAACAGATCAGGCGAGAACTTAGGAATCAACCTTGGGTCAGTTCCCACGAGAGTCAGTCTAGCTCCTCCTCGCCGCCAGGTGCATTTGCACACCCAGAAAGGCCTTCCTAGATATCCCCAAACCGTCACAGCACCCTGTTTTATTTTCCTCACAGCACTTACCACGAGGAAAATTATGATATTGATATACATACTAATTCACTTTATTCACTATCTAGCTCCCTAAGGAAGAGCAGAGATCTTCTGGTCAGCCTCGCTCACTATGCTATGCAAAACAGGGCCTAGCATATATTATTTGCTCAATAAAGATTTGTCACATCAATAGACAAACTCAGAAAATTATGCCAAACCCAGCCTCCCACTCTACTCTCAGACTACCTAGGATTCTGAAAAAGTCTTCCAACAAAAGTGAGAGGTAGAACCACTCATCCTGCCTTGGGGCTTTGGACGCTTCTTTGTGGTCATTGAGGCTCCTGTCTGTCCTTCAAGACGCCAGGGTATTTGCTTTCCTGGCTGTCTTGTTTTGTTTTGTTCTTTCTTGTCACCTCTCCGTATCATTTAGGTACTGGCTAGATCTGAAGTCCTCGGATATCATATGGAACATGTCCGACACCGGCTGGGTCAAGGCCTCCATTGGCGGTGTGTTTTCTCCCTGGATTCAGGGAGCCTGTGTCTTCGTGCATCAGATGGCACAGTTTGACAGTGACACCGTCCTAGATGTAAGTCATAACTTCTAGCTACAGCTCTGCCTTGTCTCCCCTGGAACCGCAGAGAAATGAATCCTCAGAATACAGAGAGATGTAAGAGAGAAGCATCGATCGGTTGCATCCCGAACACACCCTGACCGGGGATCAAACCTGCAACCTGGGCATGTGCCCTGACCAGGGATCAAACTTGCCACCTTTTGGTGCCCCAACCAACTGAGCCACACCGGCCAGGGCAAGATCATTCCTTTTTAAGATGCAGAGTCTTGGGAGCTTTTGAATGTACTTAACCGAGCGGAGAGGGGAACACACACCACACTCCTGGGCGTAAAGCCCACTCTTACGCTTCAAATTGTTTAGGATTTGCTAATGTCACTAAATCTGTGGCAGCTGAAGAGTCTAATTCTAAACAACAAATTATCCCTGGCTGGTGTGGCTCAGTGGTTAGAGCGCCGGCCCTCGGACTGAAGGGTCCCGGGTTTGATTCCAGCCAAGAGCATGTACCTGGGTTGCAGGCTCGATCCCGGGCCCTGGTGGGGGCAAGTGAGGGAGGCAGCCCATCAATGTGTCTCTCTCACGTCGATGTTTCTCTCTCTCTCTCTTCCACTCTCTCTGAAAAGCAATGGAAAAAATATTCTCAGGTGAGAATTAAAAATAAATAACAAATTAAAAGTCTCAAGTCTAATCAAATATATGGTTTCTGATTAGCGAAACAAAGACAGTAACTGACAGATCTGACCCTTGTGTGGAGGAGACTGAAGGTGGGGCTACCTTTCTGCCAGAGCAGCTCCTTCCATTCTCCCCATGAGAAACTCTGCTAACTCTCAGAACCCAGTGTTCTTTTTTATGATTATTATTATTTTAATACATCCCCATTTATTTCAGAGAGAGAGGAAGGGAGAGGGAGAGGGAGAGAGAGAGAGAGAGAGAGAGAAACATTGATGTGAGAGAGAAACATCGATCAATTGCCTCCTGCACTACCGCCGACAGGGGATCGAACCTGCAACTTAGGTATGTGCCCTGACCCAGAATCCAACCCACAACGCTAAAACCAACTGAGCCACACCAGCCAGGGCTAAAATAACTATATTTTTATAAAATATTAAATATTTTATACTTAAAGTTTTTTATTTAAAGGCACCTCTTAATATAATATATTAAATAAATTAAGTAAGATATATTAACAATATATTGTTAATGTTATTAATTGATATGTTAATGTAATAATGTTATATTATTATTATTTAATATAACATTGCATAAAATATTAAAATAAGAGCATTCCTATTTTACAAAGATAATGCATACATTTCAAAGTGCTGTAAAAATGTTTATGAGGATACACTATTCTTAGTTATAGACACTACACTTATTAAGAACAGTTGGAATCTAGGGAGCAAGTGCACACAGTAGAAATTCTTGTTTACAGATCAAGAGTTATACTTGATCTATGACAACCCAGATAGTCTAGACATACATCTTGAGAGTGTTCTCTCAGACACTTAAATTTAATACAAACTGCCGATTCATTATGTGACATAGTGGATAGTATTTCTCCAGATCTAAGGTGCCTTTGATTTTAAGGAGCCAGAGGCATAATGAGCCCTGCAAATCTTAATCAGTCAAAGGCCTGAAAAATGCCTTACTTATGCATTTCATCAATCCACTCAAAAGGACTGAAGTCGTACAGAAAAGGTGTTGGAAAGGTTTTGGTAGCTTATAGATCCAGAGTCGATACTATGCAGTGGTCAGTACTATCCCGTTGTCAGGACTCCAGAATTCCACCATGAGAGGTAATTTGCAGCCCCAAAGTAGAATATACCAGTTCATACTTTGCAGTGGTTCTCAAATGCAACAATTCACTTTTTGTTGAATTTGACTGTGTATGCCTATTACTGTAACATATATATATTCCTTCCAATAATTGAGAATTCCCAATTGACATACAGTCACCAGTGACAACTAATAAATATTTACTTCCTTATTCCTGTGAGATGGGCACAGGAGAATTGGGGGTGTAGACGTTGTCCCTAGTGGTGGCCTTTAATTAACCGCTTCTGACACCTGTCTCTGTCCATCACCCAGACGCTGACCACTTACCCCATCACGACCCTGTGCTGCGTTCCCACTGTGTATCGGATGCTTGTGCAGAAAGACCTTAAGAGGTACTTGGGCAGAAATCTCCATTCGAACTACCAGCAAAAGCTGTCATGGGAGCAGATCATTGTGTGTCTTGGGGACTGTCCCGTGCGCTGTAGGCTGTTGAGCAGCGTTCTCTCTGGCCTCTGCCTGCTCATGCCACTAATACTTCCCTCTCCACCAGGTGTGACCATCAGATATGTCCCCAGATATAGCCTACAGTCTTCGGGGGTAGGAAAGGGGACAAAACTGCCCCTTCCCCTTTTAAGAATAACTGGGATCACCTCTAGGGGACACTGAACCTTTTCCAGGGGCAACCAGAGTCCCACAGGCCCAGAACTCCCACCCCCCCAGAAAACAACCATAACTACATCTATACCACCTTGACCAGAAGCTGACCAAGTCTTATGATTTGAAGATTCCATGCAATTTGGCCAAATCAGCTGAACACCCAGTGGAGTTGCAGTCACGAGGAGAGACGGGAAGAGAGAAACAATTTAAGAAGTGCAGGCTCCCCCACCCTCTGCTCCCCCAAGGTGTGGACACCCAGGAGGAGGGAGAGCGCTGTGAGAGGCAGAATAAAGCAGATATGTATCTTCTCTTGGCTGAGTCAGTGTCAGCTCCTTTGTGGCCCTCAGACGTGAGTACCTTGGTCACATTTCAAGAGTAACTCAAGGGCCACTCAAGGGTCATTTTGGATAGGCACCATTCAGGTCCCACCACACCCTCCTGGCCAGTTAGAACCTCACTGTACCAGAGTAAGGCTGTTCCAGACTTTCTCACCCGAGTCCTGTGGTTAAAGCTCAAGCTCCGAAGTCAAAAAGGTGGAGCTGTGCTACTTACTAATAGTGCGACCTCAGACACTCAAGGTGACCTTGATAAGCTCCCCTTAACTCCATCCATAAGAGAACTAAGAGCACCTCGTGGGGTTGTGGTGAGAATTCAATGCAAGCAGCATGGTTGGGGAGGCACCTGACAAGTGCTAAGTGCAGAGCACAGGGCGTAGAGCTCAGCCCTTTACGGTGAGGCCTTAAGCATGTTCTTTAATTTCTCTCAGCCTCAGTTTCCTTACCTGTAATCCTCAGGGGTTACGAGGATTATGAGAATGCTCCTAAAGTCCTTATAACTTAGTAAATGCTCAACTAATGTTAGCTGTTGTTCTATCCCTTGAAAATGCTCACAGTATGTGCTTAATCTCATTATTAGCATTTTCTCCTACCTTTTCTCCTCTTTACTGACTTGCTAAAATGTACGCTCTGTCAGGAGCCTTTGTTTCAATCACTAATATGCCTAGAACAATGTCCGGCAAGATCGGAGGTGCTCAACGAATATTCCTTAAATGAACTCTCCTGAGACTTGCTCCATTGCTTGTTGCTAGAACACCCTAATTATCTTATAATGAAAGGCACTCAGATTTCTCCCCCAAAGACCCCATGCGACTCTGTCTCTCAAGATATAAATTCATGAAGCTGCGGCACTGCCTGACATCCGGGGAGCCACTCAACTCCGTGGTGCTGAAACAGTGGAAGGAGCAGACGGGGCTGGAGCTGCACGAGGGCTACGGACAGACGGAAGCGGTACTTTTAACGGGCAGAATTTAAGTGTGCACAGGGGGAACCTTTCACCCCCGGGACTGACACCTGAGGCCCGGGAGTGTCCCCATTGCGCTCTAGATTTTCAGGGAGCTCCTCGGGATCCCTTACCCTGCCAGCAGTTACCAGAACCTCTGCATTACCCAGTCAGGTTTGGCTGGAGGGGAACTGTGATCATTCCTCGTAGTCCTCCTGTCTCCTCCCCACACAGAAGTTTTAGAGAGGTTAGGGATTGGCGAGGTTCAGAATTGTGCAGCTCATCTTTATTATTATTGTTGTTGTTATTTATTGATTGATTTTAAGAGAAGCATCGATTTGTTGTGCATTCATCGGTTGAATCTTGTATGTGCCCTGACCGGGGATTGAACCCACGACCTTGGCGTATCGGGTCGATGCTCTAACCAAGCGAAGCACCCGGCCAGGACTCTGCAGCCCATCTTTCCATCACACTGGGAAGCACCCCAGAGATCCCCACTGAGGAATTTATTCCAAGGTGCCCTTAATAGGACCCTTAGCTTAAAGGAGTGTCTTCAAAGTGGGGGCCTTAAACCAGCAGTAGCAGCAGGTGGGAATTTGGTAGAAATGCACATTCTCAGAACTCCCCTCCCCAGACGTACTGAATTAGAAACTCTGGGATGGGGCCCAGCAGCCTGTTTTAACAATACTCCAGGTGATTCTGATAAACACTCAAGTTTGAGAACCACTGGTCTAAAATATTTCAGAATATAAGCTTGCATACTGGGAAAATCAGTCAAACCTGAGTCCTAAGTTTCATTGTCAGGATATAAATGGCTACTGAAGATGAATTTTACATACTTACATAAAAATACCCTTCCAATAGGGGATGATTTGTGGCAATCTGAAAGGACAAGAAATCAAACCCGGCTCGATGGGGAAGGGAATCCTACCCTATGATGTCCAGGTGGGTCACATCTGACTGGTTCAATAGAGAATGTTTCACATTATTTTCTGCTGTTCATTATATTACTATTCCTAACCCATTTTCATTCTAGATTATAGATGAAAATGGCAACATCCTACCACCTGGCAAAGAAGGAGACATTGCTATCAGACAAAAGCCTACCCGGCCCTTCTGTTTCTTCTCAGAATATGTGGTAAGAGAATGTAGAACATGCTGTTTACACTTTAACAGAAAAGGTGGTATTGGGAGCCATACAGAGTTGGGTCTAGACTTCATACCTACCATGTCCTGCTGTGTGACCCTGGGCAAGTCACAACATCCAAGGCTATCTCATCAACTGTAAAAGGGGGAGACCATCTTCTAACTCCGAAGAGTTTTGTAAAGATTACCTTCTATGTGTTAGAAACCGGCTGCAGTAGTTGTCCTCAGAAAGCACGCATGGACAGGCTGCTGGGGAGAGGGTGTTATATAGGGGACTTGAAGTGAAAGAGATATTTACTTTTTATGATACTCTCGGGCCTTTTGTGTTCTATACTATAAACTACCTTTAAAAAAAATTAATTTCTTTTAGAAATAGAATGTACAATGTATTAGCCACTTCATGGGTGCCATACCCCTTTTTCTATTCTGACCAAATTAACCCCGTGTCATCTTTGATTCCTAGGGCAACCCAGAGAAAACTGCCTCCACGATAAGAGGGAATTTTTATGTCACTGGAGACAGAGGAGTGATGGACAGCGATGGGTATTTCTGGTTTGTTGGCAGAGCTGATGATGTCATCATATCCTCTGGGTTTGTACATCTGCCACTGCTGGAAAGTAGCAACTTGCCTGGGGAGATTTCTGACTTGGGGTGGTGCTCTAAGACCTCTTTTCTTCTGCTAGGTACCGTATTGGGCCATTTGAGGTTGAGAGTGCACTGGTTGAGCACCCAGCAGTTGCTGAATCGGCCGTTGTCAGCAGTCCAGACCCAATCAGAGGAGAGGTAGCGTGAATGTCACTAATGAAAGTAGCAATTTCACACTTTCAAGTTCTGTCCACTTGGCCACTCTAAAGAGCGAATCGAGAATAGCCATGTAACTCTTGAGGCACACATGTGGCAAAAATGTACACTGGCAATCAACTTGACACATAGATTGTGTCCCAAAGAGGATGTATTAGGATTCTTTTGGTGGCAAGTGACAAAAATTCAACTCAAATTGACTTAAGTTATTAAAAAAAAAAAAAAAAAGGAATTTATTGGCCCACCCACAAGTGAGGTCTACAGGTACAGCTTACACCCAAGGCTTCACGTGAAGGTGGAAAAACTTAGTCTCTCCATTTGCTGGCTCTGCTGTTCTTCCTGTTGCCTCCACCAACCAACTCCAGACGTGCACAGCTTCACAACCCCAGGGAAGGAGACAGCTTCCTTTCCAAGTTTCAAGCAATTCCCAGGATGCGTTTGCCTACCTGAGATCACATCTCTAACCAACGTGGTCTGGGAGATGGTATATGTTGACTGGCCAGACCTGGATCATATGCTGGTCACTGGTGGAAGGAGTTAGTGTCAACCCCACCAGAGAGAAGTTAGGGTAATCCTCCTCAGGAAAATCAGGGTACTGTTACCAAAGAGGGGACAGCAGATACTGCATAAGCAAAAGCTGCAGGCTTTACTGTATGTACGATGGTCATAGAACTCAGAATATGTCTTCTCACAGAAACAATGCAAGTAGGAGACTGTGGCCAGGTTGCAAAACAAGCCCCAGAAGCCTACTTAGAACCCAGTGAAAGGAAACTTGGGGAATGAGAGCAGTCCCCATGCTTTGTTGAGATTCAGAGGGGATCTCTGGCACCTGCACGCATCACTCAAGCTACTATTAACAAATGATGAGTGCCTGTGTTCAGCCTTGGTTCCCACTCTTCCTGTGCCTGAAAACATATCACTACAAATTCACTCTTCTCCTGCAGGTAGTGAAAGCTTTTGTCGTCTTATCTGCACCCTTTAAATCATCTGACCAGGAGAAATTAACTCTTGAACTCCAGGATCATGTGAGAAAATCAACTGCACCTTACAAATATCCAAGAAAGGCAAGTATTTTGCCCACAAGTGTATGTGATCAAACAAGGGGCTAAGCTAGTAAGTATGTCAGTCTTACTAGCTTTTGACTTTAGGGTAGCTCATCATATACAGAAGATATGTATTTCAACTTTTTTAGCTCTAAGAGTTTTGCTTTAAAATGTTTTGTATTAGGACACAATAAATGCTTGATAAACTAGAAGTTTTAATCAAGTCTGTAATACTGAGTAACTAAGAAGCCTTGTTGGACTAAATCAGTCCCATTCCATGAGAAGAAAAAAATGGGGGGAAATTGTGCCTAAAGGCATATCCGATTCCTCTACCATAGTATTCTTGGGCCATAATACACTCCTAAATTCAAAGCATAGCCCTTTAAGCATCAAGTGACTGAATTTAAGGCTCAGGACAAAGATATCCAAACTGTGAAATATTTTGAGGCTATAATTCTACATGCTATTGGTTGATAATGACATAAGAATTCCATTTCAACTGGCGAAATGGTAATTTCAACCTAAGAACTAGTTACAGTTTCTCCATTAAATTCACTAAATCAATGATCAGCTGATTTTCAGAAATGTTTGAGGATATTTTAAAGTCTTATCTTGAGGGAGCACAAGTCAAAGCGTAAGGAGAAAACTGTATATTCAAAATTACCTCTAAAAAGTCTCCCTCAGAACCTTTAGGCCCCAGCTCTTAAAAGCTCAAAACCCTAGAATTGAACTATTTCTCTGCATTTAGGTGTGGCCTCTACTTGCCTGGGGCAGAAGAGGCCTAGGTCTAGTCTGAACTGAAGGAAAGGAATGGAGTAAAGATTACATTCTTCTAGCAAAGCATATAGTTGAATTGGTACTTAAAAAACCACGATGAAGTGCCACTGTCATCTTTACTATACAAATGGAAGTTTCTGGTGCTCCCAAAATTCAATGAGCTTAGGTTCAGACAAACCCAGACTCTGAACTCAACACCAGAGTTTCCTGAACACTCTCCTATTGTACTGACGGTTGGGATAAGTCAAAATGGAATCAAGTGTCTCATAATATGTTTTTGTTAATTAGGTGGAATTTGTTGAAAATCTCCCAAAGTCAATCACTGGGAAAATCAAACGCAACGTTCTAAGAGACCATGAATGGGGACGGACATAGCCTGGAAGTAAACTGAGGCATGAAGTACTTACAGGGTTGCTCTTAGTCTTTGTTTCCTGATGATTCAGTGACAACTCTCTTATAATGCTTAAGATTTTTCCTGGTTGAAAACTCAACTCCGAGCCCGGCCAGACATGGCTCAGCAGTTAAGCGTCGACCTAGGATCCAGGTGATCGGGGTTCGATTCCCGGTCAGAGCCTGGGTTGCGGGCTCGATCCCCAGTCGGGGACGTGCAGGAGGCAGCCGATCAATGACTCTCATCATTGATGTTTCTCTCTCTCTCTTTCCCTCTCCTTTCCTCTCTGAAATCAATAAAGATATATTTAAAAAGAAAACTCAACTGAGTCTGTGTTTTGTACTTAGCCAAAAAATAAATAAAAATCAAAATATTGGGAAGAAATTGTTATGATCACCAAACCAACAAAGGCAATGACTATGACTTATAGTGTTTAAAATTGCAAGAGTCAATGATTGCTTGGAAATACACAGTGGACAATGAATTTATTTTGTGCCTGATTAAATAAAAATAAAGATTAGAAGTATTCTAAGAGAAATGTTCAAGACAGAATTCTGCTTAACATTTTTATATATTACTAATTCTTTAGGATGGATTAAAGTAATGTTAAAATGAGAAATAAAAATGATTCAAAAGCCAATAAATAAATTTAATTAAGTACTACATTACTAGTTATTATTTTGGAGCAAATTCACTATAAAATATCTGAAAACTTGGACCACTTAAAAATAAATACTAATAAAAATTTTTATATCTTTACTTTTTAGGACGATGTAATAACTTATTGATACATAACTTGACATAAAAACATCTTTTATGATATGTCAATTATAAAGCAAGAGATTTACTAAGAGGCAGAAAGAGAAAGAAAGAAAGAAAGAAA